ATGTTGGTTAAAAGACAAATGTCTTGAGATGTTGATATTGTCGTTAATGGCACTTGTTTTCATGCTTAATATATGATTGTATTTTGGCACGGCTGATGAAAGGTAGCCATATTTTTTGACCTGCTGTAGGGCCACACAAATCAAGACTTACTCCTGGGACAATGCACAAGTGATCCTGGTTGGAAACAAATGTGACATGGAGGATGAAAGAATTGTTCCTGTGGAGAAGGGGAAACATCTGGCGGATCAGCTAGGTACATGTGAAAGACTTTCTTTCTACTCTTTTTCCTCTGCTTCTTTATACTGGGTTCCTTTTTATTGTACAAATTAAAGTCCTTCCAGCAGTAATACTTTAATAATGGTATCAAAACTAAGAGGCGTAACATATTCTAGGTCCATATTTTACTTTCTTAGTGCTGAATACTACTTTCTTTGTAGTGTTGCTGTATCTGTAAAGCTAATATCTAAGTATATAAGGAAAATAAAGTTTGTCTGGAGAGAACAGCTTTTATTAGTTCAGCAGAATGAAGAGAGAAAAAGGTTTTATATATACAGTTCTGTTTCCAGGTCGCTAAGTACCACAGAGTCATTTTCAGAATGCAAACATTGATTTTTGTAGAAGGAAATTTTTTTTTGCAACTAAACAATGAAAAAAGAAGTTTATACATTAGAACTGTAGAGTTGAATAAAATACGTTTTAAAAATGTACCAGGCTTCTCTGTCGAGGTAGGGAAATGGCATTATGTTATTGATACAGGATAGAAAAAGCAAAACAGTTTAATTGAGAGGAAGCTGGGATTGCAATGAAAATTTTAGAATGAACAGCAAAATAAACTCATCCTAATTTCTCATTTATCATTTTTTGTTATAGCATATATGATCTTTTTAATATGGAATCAGGTCTTCTGTGTTAAGATTTAACTATACAGTTGTCTTCTTTTAAAGAATTCATAGTGGCAAGTAAATCCTGTTAAAATTTAATTCAGTTAACAGTGGAGACCCTTACAGTGGGTATACTGTAAATATATGTTTAGCTTGTAAGAGTAGAGATTCTCACCAGACCCAAAGGAATCACCATCATCCCCAATTTGTAAAATCCTATGTTGTCTTCAATTCTTAAGCAGTAATTGGAGGGTTCATAATATCTTATTAAACTGGGGGTACTGGAGTTCCAGTACACATTGCATACATTGTTTTAATTTAAAGTGTGACCTTGATCAAATTGCCAATTATGGTTAAATCTCAGATAATAACTATTTATTAGTTGGGGGAAAGGTATAGAAACCATGCTCATAGATGAGTATAAAGTATGGCTTTCTGATAGGGACCTGTGTGATAGAAACAGAAAGATGGTCACTGTTCCAATCACATTATTTTTTCATGTTTTGTGTGCAAAAAAAAAAAAAAAGCACGTCTGCAAATGCCTGCAGGCTTGGAGCCTTCACGGGTAAATTCTACATGTGCTAAGCACAAAGGGGTCCATTCATGACTGGAGACTTGAGGCACTGCCACCATAAACAAATAATGAGCAAATATCAAACTGAACGCTCTAATTTCCCATCACTATTATTATTGTAATAATAATTCTTTAGATGTAGGACTAGCAAAGCAAAGACAGACATGGTTAGTTTGCAAAATCAGTTATGAGTTTAGTTATCAGAATCTAATTTGCTTTGAAAATATGAATGTGAACAAACTTGGTTCCTGGCTTGCAGACTCCAAGTGGGCTCATATATTTTGCAAGAGTAATTACACTGTTAGTAGTTGAAAATTTGTCCACAACAATGTAACAGCAAATAGAGTTTTACTGGAACTCCCACTCCTGTTTGGACTTCTAATGTTTTTTTCTCCCCCGCAAAATTCATCTGTTTGAGTACAAACCTGGCATCTAGAATCTGAACCCGTTACATATGGGACACTTCAGAACACACGTACACAGTTACCATAGCAACTGACTCCATCAGTAGGAAACTGTTCTGCTGAAGAATTCCCAGTTCTGGCACCGACCCGTCCTTGCACTTGTCCAGCTCATCCTAGAGAAACATACTCCAGTGCAGAGCAAAACAGAAGCTAACCATGCCTTTGCAAAATGCTGTCCCAGTTGTCATCTTCTGTAACCTCCCAACATACTAATGCCCTTTTTAAAAGGGCTGAAAAAATATGTACGTATTGGTTTATCCATCGGTTTTTCCTTGTATTAACTGTGATAATGTGTACAGCATTATCTGAAATTACTTTGTGTGTTAGGTAGATCTCTTTAATTGACTATCAACTGCTTAAACTGCTAGCTTTCATCATAACGGTTCACATAAAGGTTATCTTTCAGCATGTTTATCTAAGTTTATATGCTTAATGTGACATTAACATCATTGAAATAATTTCCTAATCGGATTAAAAAACTGTTACTGGGCTGAACAGGAACTAAACCAAAACAGATTCAGCCACAGCAGAAGCTAAGCCAATGCTGGACTGACAAACGTCCAAGTTCAGTGCCCTGATTTCTTGTGCCTTTTGTATACATTTTTAATCATCATCAAAGACGGCAAGTGGGGCAGACGGCACCCTCGTCTGATGCAGGACGAGGGCAAATGCCCTCCCCCATCACTCCACCCGCTGCCCCATGATTTTTAAAGTGTTGGAATGGGGTAGATACCTACTTGTTATCTCACACATTAAGGTGACTCAGTCTACCAGCAGCGGCGGACTAATCGATTAAGACAACTTATCTTTCCCTGTGTTTGTGGCAGATTCAAAGAACTCTGCATTGCATCAGTTTATCCCCAAAATGAAGCACAACAGAATGTAGCTTATTGCAAAATAAACTCTCTGTGGTGCTTGAGCTCTCACTCTTGGCAATATAATAGACTGGCAGAACGGAAGCAACAGCCATTGTAAGTGACAGTTGGCCTTTGAGACCCCTGGGGCTAGAAAAATAAAGAAATGCTTCACAGTTCGGCGCATTGCTGTCTGAGGCAGGGCTCAGGCTCGTCTGTGAGAAGGCTGGTTCTTGTATAGCGCAGGGTGTCAACGGGAGGCAGCACGAAATGGTGGCTGCCTG